GAACAACCAGCTAAACTGAGAACATGTTAAATCAATATATATTTATTCTTACATTAAATGAAATCCACCACAAAAGCCCATTTTAAAATCTAAATAGCATCAGTAAAATATAATTACATCAAGAGGCAGGTAGAAGTAGCTGCCAATAAAATGTTGCTGACTTATTGCAATAAGAAGAAACATTTTCCCCTGAAAAAATCTCAGAATTTTATATAAAATTAATTTCTACTAAGGATAAACCAGATTAAATGTGATGATTTGTCCCACCTTGATGGCAGGAACATGTTTACCATAAAACAACGTTGTCATCTTAAACAACAAAGCAAACTGAGGCACTGAGGGCTTGTGGTACATAAATACAGTGAAATGATAAGAGTATAACTGGACCTTTCATTATAAGTCCATTTAGTCGTGGGCTGATGAACATCAACAAAAAATATTTAGGATTATTGTTGTCAAGCTTTGGCAGCTAATGTCAAACCCGGTGAGGATCAGTCCTCAGCTCGGGGGTTAGCTTGCTCATCAGTGAGGATGCTTTTAGCAAAAGTACAGACGGAATCAGAGTCGCTATCGATAGTGATAACAGCCAGTGAGCTCTTGGATTTTGGCGCTTCATGCTTGTGCCTTTTGGTTTTCTTGTGTTTCTTCTTCTTCTTATGGTGATGCTTGCTTCGGTCGCGTTCTTCTCTGTTCTTGGTGTCTTCCACGCTGCAGCTGCTCCTTCTGGATGTTTTATGACGCCTTTCTTTGCTCTTTTTCTTGTGCTTTGTTGAGAACTCTGGGTCACCGTCAGCACGCGCGTCTTGGAGTAGGTCTTTGGATGAATCCTCCAAATGCCTGGTTTTGTATTTTCGTTTCCCACCTGGTTTGTTGTGATGGGACTTCCGTTTTGTTGAAGGGGAGCTGGAGCAACTTCTGGATTGGGACCACCTCCTGTGCCGTCTCTGTGAATCTCTACTACGGCTTCTGGAGCGAGAGTGAGAATACTTGTTGCTACTGTAATAGTAGGACTGTCTGTGAGTGTAACGCGTCACGCTACCGTTCTTATCTCGTCTGTAATGGCTGTACGACTGGTAGCTGTGGTCCCCGTCCTTTCTTCTATAAACTGGGCCAGACTTGGAGAAGTCTCTGCCACGGGAGTATGAAGAATCGGTTTCAGCAGACTGAGAACTGAGGCTGCTGTTGGAGTTCTCTGGACTTCTGCTTGAGAGCCTGCGCTCTCTACTTTTTGAATTTCTCCTTTTCCTCCGGTACTCTCGGTCCTTTGGTTTATGCCGATCTTTCACTCTATCTTTGCTGTCGTATCTCCTGTTTTTTCTCGTTACTGTTTGGCTTTTTGGATGTTTTGTGCGTTCTGGAGGTTAAAGATCTTTCTTTTGAATCCAACTGACGATGGCGATCTGTTTCTGGGCTTTGTCCCACCTTGACAGAGCCGCTTCTGTGTGAAGCTGCAGGGCTACAACTGGTGAAACGGATGTGATGGGGCGGGAGAGGTGCCTCTTCAGTATCCTCAATCTCAGACTCGTTCGAGTCAGAGGAGAGGTGAACCAGCTCAGGAGTCCTCTCTGCTGTCGGTTTGACAAACCCTATGATGACACAGTCCTCGCTGTCAGAAGACACACGGTCTTCCTCGTTGCGGTTACTCTGAGGCACGCCAGCTGGGTTATGTGAGCTCTGCCGGTGTGGAGAAGCCTCAAACTCTTGCATCTCCTCCTCTGAACTAATATCTGAGTCCAAGTTCAAAGGTGTCATCGCTGTTGCTTCTCTCTGCTCGGCTGAAGTGGAATATGACGGTCCAGGCGTCTCGTCGTCCCACAGAGAGTGGCTAAGAGAAGTAGGTTCCCCTGGGGGATCCACTTCTGCAAAGGTATCCTCATCCTCCGAGATAGCAATCACAGATGAGTTGGAGCTGCTGCCTTCGTTTCCGGAGGGGGCGGGGCAGTCATAGACTGCATGTTGGTCATAGGCCTCCATATTGAAGGGGGATTTTGCAAAGCTGAGGAACTCGTGTAGAAAGTGCTCGGTTCGACCTTGCAGGAATGGTCTGAGCTCTCCCTGGATCGCTCCATCCTCCATATCATAACGCGTAATGCGTGACATGATGATGTGCTGAACTATATTGACCAAAGAGCCATGGGCCCCGTACAAAACCATCAGTTCTCTCTTCAGCCAGGGGACCAGTCTGTGCAGGCAGGCTGGATTTCTTCGATAAAACTCAGCAGAGGTGTTTCGGGACCGACCGCCATCTTTCACGCTCTGAACCCTCACACCCCGTCGGTACAGTTCCCTCCTGAAGTTTATCATCTCTTGCTCTCTGACACTGTTCACCGCCCTGCCTTCCCTCGCAGCTCGCCTCTTGGCTTCCAACCTCGTCATCATGCGTCGAATGTAATGATCTCGGTGCTGCTCCAGGGTCGGGCGTGTCGCGGCTTCGAACATGACTCCGTTGTCTGGAGGAGGAGAGGTTCGTCTCGTTGCTCGAACTCCAGTGAAAGTTGTTCGGTATCTGAACCGCACTCCCTCAAAATAGCCAAAAGAGGCATTCTCCACCTGCTGTTTGATTTCATACCTCTGAAAGTCTTGATCTGACTTCACGCTGTGATAGATTGACCTAAACGGCTGTTTGCAGAGCGGACATTCGGCCTTGTTTTTGGACCACTCCAAGATACAGCGAAAACAGAACTTGTGCAGGCAGCGGTCCAAGTGGGAAATGTTGTTGAATCTGTCCAAGCAAATGGGGCACTTGGAGTCTGGCGATGCCTCTCCAGACATCGCTTTAGAGTTTTTACCTCTGGCACTGTTCTGGTTGTGTTGCAGGGCAATCTGGACTGCAGACATGATCTAATGTGGAGAGAAGAAAAAGCTGGAGTGATCTTCAAAATACAAGCTCTTACTTTAAACACCAATAAAGCCAACCTAAGCAGGCTGATTGAATAAAACGCAGTAACTAGAACAGCAAAAATATATAAACCGCTTTCCATCTATGATTAAATTATGGAATTTATTTTATGTTTGAATCATTTATTCACTAAGTTCACAGGGCTGGTGTTATTACAGATTTACATAGATCTTAGTAATAAACAATGGAAAAAGTTGTTGATTAAAATAAACTATGAAACTTTTAAAGACTTGGCTTTTTAAACTTGCTTTGCCTTATTTTATTTATAATTGTTGCTTGTTTATTTCCTCGTATTTTCTATTTTTACTGTGAAGCACTTCGTGATTTTTTTCTGCGAAAAGTGCGATGCATTTAAAAGTTACGTTTCTGCCCCATTATGAAAATATGAAAATGAACACAAACAATTCTCGTTAACCTGAACAGATTTCTACTCTAGAGGACATTTATCACCGTCACAGCCCATATTTTGTCTTTTAAGGAGCTGTAACTTTTGGTTGTCTTTCAAATAAGTCAAAACTAACTAAACGGGACAATCAGAAAGACAACCTAAAAAGACATGGCTCTTATATTTGGCAAGATAATAGAAACGCAAGAAAACGTATTAAATATGTCTTTCGGCACATTTGTTGTGTGTTTTAGTGAATGCTGACGTTGTTACGATCCCGTTTTGATTTGATGAAAATTTAATGTTGGATTAGTTTGAAAACATAAACAACCTCAACAAATAGTCATAAAAATATTCTTATTCGCAGAACAAAGCTAACTGTAGATTATAGCTGGGTTTTTGGTTGAAGCTAGCACAAGGTGGCTACGTTAGCTAGCACGGTGCCGTTAAAGTTATGACACGACGGCAAGGAGTCCGTTAATGAGTTGTAAGATATTTACCTGCGACTTTGACAAACACACATACACACCACTGGCAACGAATTAGGAGTTTCCTTCATGAATAAATCCACTTTTTAGTAAACATCTGTCAGCTAGCGTTTCACCTCCTTTCCACCGGTTTCATAATTTCAACGTTCGAACACTTCCGCTCTTCAAAATAAGAGCACTTCTTTAGACACTTCCGGTTTTATTTATAACTCAAGTGAAAAAGTTCCACTAAAACCAGGCTTTGAGGATGTCTGTAAGACTACAATAACTAACAGTGTGATTTGATCTAGCATGAATGGAATTGAGACCGTTTAAAGACTATAAAACCTAAGATGCAAATTAATCCAATTCAATCACGATCAGTAAAAAACATGATTACAATTAAACAACTTTTCAGGTTCACACACACGAGGAGGGGGGTGAGTACTAACTGCGCAGAAAAGGTGCAGCAGCAGTTTCGACCTGCGAGTGTCTCTCTGCGAGGTAACGGTGCTAATTGCGACACCTCATAAACTGATTTATGACCGCCTCATAAACACCAATCATGTTAAAATGTTCATGCAACATAATAATTTAAAAACCTATTAAAAAGAAAAGCTACACAAAACTAAATCTTATCATGAGCACAAAGTCCTGGAATAAATGATGAAATTCTTCCAGTTAAAACCCAACACCACACTCATTACAGTCAGACATGAAGAATTTTGTAATATTTTATTGTAATATACAGTTTTTACAACAGAAAAACAAAAAAATTAATCACATTTTTTTTTATTTAGTGATGGCCATGGATCTCTGGGAGATCAGGTAACACTTCGCCAGTCTCCAGAATGGTGTCACCCTGTAAGAAAGGTCAATTAAACATCTCAGACAGCAAGTCAATGACGTCAGTGGTAGACAATGATTGTACCACATAAACAGAAAACAGCTAATTAAAATAACACACGTGTATTATTCAGAACTAGTATATATGCTATACTCACAGGTAAAAGCTTGGGTTTCGTCTCCACAATCCCATATGGTTTTGTCTGTGGAGAAAATGTACCTTTTAGCTAGTAATCCTACTGATCACACAAATTAAACTTGAATCCATAAACTGAGTGAGACTGTCTGATTATAGCCAAGAAACAACTGAAGACACAGGAAAAAGTCTAGTCCTATCCTGCTTAATGGATGAGTGAAAACCAGGTGGAGAAACGTGCTACAAACACTGCAAAACTTTTGGGGAAACTTACAGCAACGTGATATTTCACATAGTAGTGAACAATCCAGCCAGGCAGGAGCAGACGTGTGATTGTGAAAACTCCACCTTTGTATGCTTTGTAGGTCTGCAAGAAAACAAACAAAAAGTTATAGAAGCATGTTTAACTGAAACTAAAAAAATGTTCTCATCACAGATCGGATTTTCCATCCACTTTTAGATTAAATTCAATATTTAATTAATAACATTTAAAGTTTTAAGCAAACTGGAGTTATTTAACCAGTCTTCTCTTAATTCACGCGCCAGTTGACAGAAGCCTATTCCCGCCACTAATTAAAAAAATTACTTTTTATCTCATAATTAAGAAATAAAGGTGTTTTATTTTTGGTTTTATCAGAATGGCAGGAATGGGGTGCCATACAATTAGAGCATTACAGGGAGCTAAAGTCATGCCCATCTCCCTCTGGACCACGGGTCCCCAGAAGAATAAAAATAGGAATACAAGTCAAAGGGGCTGAAAATGCAATTTTCTAATTCTGTTTGTTATGAGTCATTGATTTCACATATGATGTCAGTGATTTTTAAAGACGCGCTTTGACGCCAATAAAGAGCTTATTTTCTAACGTGAGGGAAACGTTATTTTAGGTTTTTTGTGAAAATAAGTCCAGGACTAAAAATGTGCATTACGAAAGTGACGACATTGAACCAGACACGGAGAAAAACAGGGAAAATGGCTGTAAGTTCAACAAACTTCAAATCCTTGCTTCAGGAGGAAAAAACCACCATAAATCTGGCTATGTGGTAAATAACAGCTCCGCTAGGGGAGAGGAGATTCTGTGGTGATGTCATAAATGCGAAGTACTGATGTCTGATTTGTAGTGATGCTAATTATGAACTTTTACAAGCTGGTAAATCTCAAAGTGCGTGACTGGCGTGGTCAAAAACACCCATCACTAATGTTCATTTAAATTGAAGTACAACATATGTGCGACTTAGGGCATAAGGCAAAGCGGATTATACAATTACTCTTAGCCCCGTTGATTTGCATTAATTAAAAAAAAAAGAACTTTATTTGGTAAATTTACAAACATAGTACTTTCAAAATGTTGTGAATCCAAAAACTAAATTCAAAAGGAGCTATCTTCGTCGTCGTCTTCCTCCGCTTATCCGGGTCCGGGTCGCGGGGGCTGCATCCCAACTAGGGAGCTCCAGACCGTCCTCTTCCCGGCCTTGTCCACCAGCTCCTCTGGCAGGACCCCAAGGCGTTCCCGGACCAGATTGGAGATGTAACCTCTCCAAAGTGTCCTGGGTCGACCTGGAGGCCTCCTGCTGGCAGGACATGCCCAAAACACCTCCCCAGGGAGGCGTCCAGGAGGCATCCTGACCAGATGCCCAAACCACCTCAACTGGCTCCTTTCGATCCGGAGGAGCAGCGGTTCTACTCCGAGTCCCTCCCAAATGTCCGAGCTCCTCGCCCTATCTCTAAGGCTGAGCCCGGCCACCCTACGGAGGAAACTCATTTCGGCCGCTTGTATCCGCGATCTCGTTCTTTCGGTCATTACCCAAAGCTCATGACCATAGGTGAGGATTGGGACGTAGATCGACCGGTAGATCGAGAGCCTGGCTTTCTGGCTCAGCTCCCTCTTCCCCACGACAGATCGGCTCAGCATCCGCATCACTGCAGACGCCGAACTAATCCGCCTGTCGATCTCCTGATCCCTCCTACCCTCACTCGTGAACAAGACCCCGAGATACTTAAACTCCTCCACTTGAGGTAGGACCTCTCTCCCGACCCGGAGTTGGCAAGCCACCCTTTTCTGGTCGAGAACCATGGTCTCAGATTTGGAGGTGCTGATCCTCATCCCAGCCGCTTCACACTCGGCCGCGAACCTTCCCAGCAAGAGCTGAAGGTCAGAGCTGGATGAAGCTAGGAGGACCACATCATCTGCAAAAAGCAGAGACGAGATTCTCCTGCCACCAAACTCGACACACTCCACACCACGGCTGCGCCTAGAAATTCTGTCCATAAAGGTAATGAACAGAACCGGTGACAAAGGGCAGCCCTGGCGGAGTCCAACCCTCACTGGGAACAGGTCCGACTTACTACCGGCTATGCGGACAGAACTCACGCTCCTCTGGTAAAGGGACTGAATGGCCCTTAACTAAAGGCCACCCACCCCATACTCCTGGAGCGTCCCCCACAGAAAGCCCCTGGGGACACGGTCATAAGCCTTCTCCAAATCCACAAAGCACATGTGGATTGGTTGGGCAAACTCCCATGCCCCCTCCATCACCCTTGCAAGGGTATAGAGCTGGTCCACAGTTCCACGGCCAGGACGAAAACCACATTCCTCCTCCTCTATCTGAGATTCAACTATCGATCGGAACCTCCACTCCAGTACCTTGGAGTAGACCTTTCCAGGGAGGCTGAGGAGTGTGATCCCCCTATAGTTGGAACACACCCTCCGGTCACCCTTCTTAAAGATGGGGACCACCACCCCGGTCTGCCACTCCACAGGAACTGCCCCCGATGACCACGCAATGTTGCAGAGACGTTTCAACCACGACAGCCCTACCACATCCATAGCCTTGAGATACCCAGGAAGAACCTCATCCGCCCCCGGGGCTCCGCCGCTGTGTAGTTGTTTGACTACCTCAGCAACTTCTGCCCCCGAGATCGGACAGTCCATCTCCAGGTCTCCCGAAGAGAGCTATTGACATGCTATAACATTAGTAAATATAAATGCAGTGAACAAAAATAACATAAAGAAAGAGTAGAGTACGACTTTCAACGAGGGTACGGCATTTACTTGCATTCATTTATTTGTTCTCCTGGGTACCCATGAGCCGACCAGAAAGGTCAGGTTCATGATCAACCAGATATTTTTTCTCAAATGTTTGGAGCTGTACATGAAAACATACGCACACGTTATGTGTATATACATATATATATATATATATATATATATATATGTATATACAGAATTTGTCTTTAATGACACATATGATTTTGGCTGCATTTGACCCATCATTAGCTTTTTATTGCAGTTTTATTGGTTTCTTATAATTCGCTGTTTAAATGCTGGATTTGTCAGCCCTCGTGAAAACGCAAACAAAAACAATCAAGCCTGGTGTATGTACTGTTCAGAACAATTCAGTTTGAAAATCTATAAGAAATATTACACCAACTGTAATATTTAATTTAGAAATAAGACATTTAAATCGTATTTCTATCTATTAAAGCCATCATCAGACAAGACAGGCACTCTTATTGACAATGCAAATGAAAGGTATAATTTGTTTTGCAACATGCAAGTAATAACTTGTGTATTATTATTATTACAATTGAATTAATATTATATTCCATTAATTTCGCGTGTTTGCGCCTTTGTTAACGGCACTGGCTCATTTTAGTACAGAACTGCTGGGACTCACGTAAAGCCTCCACAGGCTTTTGGGCTCCAGGAAGCTAGCCCAGAACTTAGCGACGGGGCCTGGAGGTTTAGCTTGAACCACGGGCTCCCTCGGACTGAGCTCCTGGTCCTTCAGCCACTGCCTCCGGAGTTTCACTAACTGGTCAAAACGCAGCTTCTCGTCTGGTGTGTAGCCAGACATGGTTCACTATTGAATATTCAACCTGAAAAAGCTACAATGACACCATGGAGGACACTTTACAGATACCGACGAACAGGAAGTAGTAGTAGAAGAAGAAGTGTGACGTAGGTAAATGGTTGAGATGTTTTAGGGCGACACCTGCTGGACACTAATGTTTACCGGAAAAACTCTATCAAGTAACGATAAATACCAAATTCTTGAAGGACACAAGTTGGAAATGCTCTAATTTGTTTGTGACTATTAGCTTTTTCCACTAAACACAAATTGAGCAAGTGTTTTTATATCATTATGCTACAAATTTTAATCAACTAAATTTTAATACAAAAGACATTTAACTACACAGTCATTGTCTTATCTTGAAATGGGGAACCTTCAATAAGATGTTTTTCCCCCTTTGTTGTTTAAGTATTTATTAATAATAATAATAATAATAATAATAATAATAATAATAATAATAATAATTATTATTATTATTATTATTAGTAGTAGTAGTAGTAGTAGTAGTAGTAGTATTAGGCCCAGAAGAAGCTTTATAACCACATTGTTTTCTCAGCCAGGAATTTGATTTTAGTTGAGGAAAATAATTCTAAAATGTTTTTGAAACAGTAATAGAACTAAAAACAACATATATTTTCTAAATTTGGTTATTATTTCATTGAATGGAATAAATATTGTGGGCAACATTTGTCTTAACGTTTAAATTGACCTGCCATACTATAAAAAAACCGCCATATGAACATTTCTAAATTATTCAACGGACTTTATATGATAAACAAATGAAAATAAATAAATAAATAAATAAATAAATAAATAAATAAATAAATAGTAGTTTATCTTTATCTGAGCCTTTTACTTTGAAACGTTAACCGGAAGTGGTTTTCGAAGCGTCAGGTGACCCAACATGTCTGCCATTTTTTGCATAATGCCTTCAATTAGCGTTCAATAACGTTACGCGCTTTGTTGGATTGAAGTTTAACAAAGTGTGAGTTCACGCATGCTTAGGACATTAAAACGTCATAAATACTTCAGAAAGGTAATACTTCGCAGTCGTATTCTGATTCAAACTCGTCGTTAAGCTAGTTGGTCGCTATGAAAAGTATATAAGAGCGATGCTCAGCATATTCTTGAAGAGTTCAATAATACTAAACTGGTTTCTTGTTATCAAAATGAGATTCAAATCCGTTTGGCGTTTGAAAAAATGTTTTATGGTTCTCCGAAGTAGCTAAGCTAGAAAGCTAGCTCGTGCTGGTAGCACCCAGTTAGCTTCAACCTGATACGTCATGTACGAGAGTCCAGTATGGATTTATTAATGCGTAATAACAGGTGTGTTGATTACAGAAGAAATTTGTACACGGTGCTTTTGATATTTGCACACTTTTTTTTTTGCTTAGAAAACTTGAAACTCCATTGAAAACGTATTACGTGTATAACGTTTTCAGTCAGCATGCCAAATTCCGAATAAACATCAGTGGTTGTAAGTGTGTGCGTTGATTGAGGGTATGGTGCGCTCATGTGCTTAAAAAGGTTTTATTTCTGAGACTTATAGTTGTATTTACTTTCCCCAGGACTCTCCCAGACCTTGGATGGAGTCAGCATTAAAGTTTTTGTTGTGCTGCTTCATCACACGGAGGGACCTCGGGTTTCAGGAGTCGGGCTGTGGTGCACATCGGCGTGAGAAAAATGGTCAAATACTTTTGTAACAACACAGACATCAAGAGTACGTGGGACCATGTTGTCTCTGCTTTTTGGCAGAGATATCCTAATCCATTCAGGTACTGAAAGAATACCTCTGCTTTTACTTTATCATATTCATTGTATTACCTTTTGCCTATCTGTGACGTCTTGTTGGTTGTTTGTACAGTTTTGTAGCAGTTAGTCAGAAGCTCGCCCATCTACCTTCACCCACGACGTGTTCATTATAATTAAATGGCTGTTGAAGAGACACAACAAAACATGTAATGGATAGTTAAATGTACACGTCTTAAATGTATTGATGCAGCAACATGACATTTGTTACTACAGATAGAGGCAGACCGATATGTTCTTTTTAAGGCCAATACCGATTTTTAAAGAATTTTGTTGCTGATGGCCGATATCTAAAGCCGATGTATATACGTTTTAGCAGCACACTCATTGTGAAACACAACTTAACACTCACTGTGTGCAATGTAAATTAAATAAGTCAATACATCTCTCAATGTTTAAATATAAAACAATTCAAAACTGAAGCGCACAGCTGATTGCACCGTGTTTTATCACCCAGACTACTGAGACTAAAACCCAAAAGAACCTCAGTCATTAAAACAGAGAAGTGAGAAAAGGCACCCAACAGAGATGGACTCATAAGGCATTTGTTTATACTGGAGACCACTGCAAATGCGTTGGAAAAAAAACAAGTGAACTGAATTTTTGATGTTTGGTTGCATACAGAAAAACCAAGACGTCCTAGTGGGTCACTGTTATATGCAGCATCTTAAATATATAAAAACCCTTGGCTGGTCTTGCTGTCTGTTTGTCAGCACCCATGTCCTCACCGAGGACGTTGTGTACCGAGAGGTGACAGCGGACAACCGGCTCCTCTCCAGACGCCTGCTAATGAAGACCAATCGGCTGCCTCGCTGGGCCGAGTGTTTGTTTCCTGCCGGCATGTCTCGCTCCGTCTACATCATAGAGGACTCCGTCGTGGATCCCGTTAGCAGGAGCTTGACCACCTACACCTGGAACCTCAACCACACAAAGCTCATGGTGAAGACCTCTCGCTCTCTGCTAGTTTTTCCTCTCTGCCATTGGTCATATTTCAGTACCACATGGTCTAAGGGCTTTTGTTCTGCATGTTATAGATAGAAAGAATTTATTTTTCTGTCAAGTAATGAACAAGAAGTCCCGTGATCCTAGCAGCTCTTTGAAAATCACATTTTTCTCTCTAGTCTGTGGAAGAGCGTTGTGTTTTCCAAGACTCGGCCAAGCAGCCGGCAGCCACACAACTGAAACGGGAGGCGTGGATTTCTTCAAGCGTTTTTGGGTTTTCTAAACCCATCCAGGTACTTTAGATCTGTCAGGCTTTGTCCAAGAGTTTCACCATCAGAAGTTAATGCAGCAGATGGGCGTAGGGGACTATTTTCCTGTTCAGCCTGCATGAAAAACTCAGAGTGACCAATTATAATCATTAAGAATAACTTATAAATGGTTTTTCATTGAAGTATCGCTTTAAGATACTTGTTGAGTCACTGGATAAAATCAATCTTTGCTTTGTTTTTTTTCTCCTGTCACATTCAGTTAAGCTTGAGGGTGAGCACGTTCATCATGACTGAGTTATTGTGCTCCTCGTTTGTCCCCATAGATGTCTTGGTGTTTATTTCTTCTGCAGCTTCAAAAAATACTGTGTGCATCAGTGGTGACTGACCATTTTAAAATCTCTCCCAGCCCTTTGATTATTGACTCAGTGTCTTGTTATTCTATACATTTGCAGGACTAGATGGTTTGTAAGCAGCAAGAACCTCACGTGCTTTCATATTTAATCTTTCATGTGTTTTGTAGGGAATAAGGACTTTTATATTGTCTTTTTATGTTGGTAAATGCTGTTAATCTGCACATACACATAATAAACCATCAGCTCTAAGACAACAAGTGAAATCTATGATAAAACTACATGAGCCCAAAGGTGCAGAGGCTTTCTTAAATGTTACCACACAAGAAAGGGACATGAGGATTAGCTGGTGGTCTAGCTGGTCTAAACCGGTCCCTATTGTGTTTTTTCTCAGGAGTTTGGATTGGCTCGCTTCAAGAGTAACCAGGTGAAAGCCATGAAGGGGCTGGAATATGCTCTGTCCAACCTACAAGGTATGTAAACGTCACACCTACGCATGTAATTCTCACAGGAGAACATGGAAACTATCATTAAAGTGGATTAAGAGCCGATAAATGTTACTAAACAGGATATAAGCTCAACATAATTAAAATTTATACCATAAACAGAATATTAAAGACAAAACTGATGTCAGAATCAGGAAAATGTTTCAGCTTTGAAAAGTGATATGTATCCCCCCCCCAAACACACACACACACACACACACACACACCGTGATGCTGATGCAGCATGTTGTTTAACAGGGAGTCATCCCATTGTTAGTGGTTCTGTCTCGTTGCCCCAGTGTTGATGGCACTGCAGGAACCGGCATCAGGTGGGAGGTATTCTCCGCCTCCTGGCCTCTGGGGTCACATGATGCCACATCTGTGCCAGTAGCCTGTAGCTGAGCTAGTGATCTAGTTTCTCCTCTCCTCCTTTTAGCGCCAGAACTCATTTAAAAAGTGTAATTAAGTTGAGTTTAATGAGTTGGAATATGGTAATTTTGTTCCCTAAATCAAAATTTAACAAGTTCTTGTCATAAATAATTTGCAGCATGAGTCACGTTGCACCACTGCGACCAGCTTCAGTCTAGAAAATGATTGAAAACTATCACTGAACTTTTGTTGATCCTGTAAATCATTCATAATGCAGGTTATTATACATGCAATGAGGATAATGCATGGCCTGAGGTCGTCCCCTGGCATTAGATGTCAAACATGTTTTGTTTGGTCGTTTATCTGGTTGACAGTCTGAGCGCTTTTGTATAAAAACAAATAGAAAACGGTTTATAGTCTGATTATCACGGAGAAGAGCTCCAGTGGTGTTTCACACGTGTATTAGTGTTTAAGTGTTGGGTTGTTTCCTACGTTTACTCTCCCATAATAAAACATGTTGGATCATGCATGTGCTCCTCTGGTTTCAGCTGAAACATAAAACAAGTCCTAGCTTTTTTATTTCCTGCTTTAGTCGCCATAATCCTGCACAACATCTGTTTTCTGTGTTGCTGCTCAGAGTGAAGAATAGCACAGAAGCTTTGCATCATGTGGTTGGTGTAGCTAACCGGCTAACAATTTAGAAAGTTGGAGATTATTTTTTTATTAAATAGTTTTTATTGTAAATGAGGAAAGAACCCAAGAAATCTTTATCGTCTCTGATATTAAAACACACATTTTTACATGCTTTTACCGCAACAGTAAAGTAGTTGTCTTTGGGCGGCAGTCCTTGCACCTTTCAGCGAATGATTACAGCTGTGCTTTGTCATAAAGTAGTCCCAAGTCTAAAATGGCGTCTGATTCCTTAATGTTACTAATTATTTTCACTTGCATTTAGTCTGATTATTTACGTCCCCAAGCAGAATTAGAATCACGATTGAGTCATTTTAATGACTTTTTCACACTCAAGGCTAGTTCGTTCCATTCACTTACATTGTTTTATGCTAAGCTAAAGCTAAAAGAGTACTGCCGGATAAGAATGACTGGGATGGTTACAAATATTTTTCTTCCTACTTATCTAACTATAAAGAAAATAGCAACAGACACAGTTTGACTTTTGGGTGGAGCCACAAAATGAAATTGTATGTAGGGCACCCATGTGGCCAGCGCCAGCCCTATCAGCAGCCGGCCAGAGTTGTACAAGAATCAGCTATCCGTGTTGGCTCAAGTGCAGAATTGACCAATTTCTAGTTTTTATTCCTGACCAGATGCCCAAACCACCTCAACTGGCTTCTTTCGATCCGGAGGAGCAGCGGTTCTACTCCGAGTCCCTCCCGAATGTCCGAGCTCCTCACCCTATCTCTAAGGCTGAGCCCGGCCACCCTACAGAGGAAACTCATTTCGGCCGCTTGTATCCGCGATCTCGTTCTTTCGGTCATTACCCAAAGCTCATGACCATAGGTGAGGATTGGGACGTAGATCGACCGGTAAATCGAGAGCCTGGCTTTCTGGCTCAGCTCCCTCTTCCCCACGACAGATCGGCTCAGCGTCCGCATCACTGCAGACGCCGCACCAATCCGCCTGTCGATCTCCCGATCCCTCCTACCCTCACTCGTGAACAAGACCCCGAGATACTTAAACTCCTCCACTTGAGGTAGGACCTCTCCCCCGACCCGGAGTTGGCAAGCCACCCTTTTCTGGTCGAGAACCATGGTCTCAGATTTGGAGGTGCTGATCCTCATCCCAGCCGCTTCACACTCAGCCGCGAACCTACCCAGCAAGAGCTGAAGGTCAGAGCTGGATGAAGCTAGGAGGACCACATCATCCGCAAAAAGCAGGGACGAGATTCTCCTGCCACCAAACTCGACACACTCCACACCACGGCTGCGTCTAGAAATTCTGTCCATAAAAGTGATGAACAGAACCGGTGACAAAGGGCAGCCCTGGCGGAGTCCAACCCTCACTGGGAACAGGTCCGACTTACTACCGGCTATGCGGACCAAACTCACGCTCCTCTGGTAAAGGGACTGAATGGCCCTTAACAGAAAGCCACCCACCCCATACTCCTGGAGCGTCCCCCACAGGGTGCCCCTGGGGACACGGTCATAAGCCTTCTCCAAATCCACAAAGCACATGTGGATTGGTTGGGCAAACTCCCATGCCCCCTCCATCACCCTTGCAAGGGTATAGAGCTGGTCCACAGTTCCACGGCCAGGACGAAAACCACATTGCTCCTCCTCTATCTGAGATTCAACTATCGATCGGACCCTCCTCTCCAGTACCTTGGAGTAGACCTTTCCAGGGAGGCTGAGGAGTGTGATCCCCCTATAGTTGGAACACACCCTCAGGTCACCCTTCTTAAAGATGGGGACCACCACCCCGGTCTGCCACTCCACAGGAACTGCCTCCGATGACCACGCAATGTTGCAGAGACGTGTCAGCCATGACAGCCCTACAACATCCATAGCCTTGAGATACCCAGGAAGAACCTCATCCGCCCCCGGAGCTCCGCCGCTGTGTAGTTGTTTGACTACCTCAGCAACTTCTGCCCCCGAGATCGGACAGTCCATCTCCAGGCCTCCCAGCTCTGGTTCCTCCTCGGAATGCGCATTGGTGGGATTGAGGAGCTCCTCAAAGTATTCCTTCCACCGTCCGACTATAGCCCCAGTTGACGTCAGCAGCTCCCCATCCCCACTGTAAACAGTGTGAGCGAGTTGCTGCCTTCCTCTCCTGAGGCGCCGGACAGTTTGCCAGAACCTCTTTGGCGCCGATCGATAGTCTTTCTCCATGGCCTCACCAAACTCCTCCCACGCCTGAGATTTTGCCTCGGCAACTGCCACTGCTGCACCCCGCTTGGCTATCCGGTACCTGTCTGCTGCCTCCGGAGACCCACAGACCAGCCTCGCCCTGTAGGCCTCCTTCTTCAGCCTGACGGCTCCACGAACCTCTGGTGTCCACCAGCGGGTACGGGGGTTACCACCACGACTGGCACCGGCCATATGTAAACGTTAGTCACCATAATGCTAACAAAAGAAATATGCTAGCCCAAGCTAATGCTGGCTCAAGCTATTGCTGTTACTAGCCTGAGCTACAGATCCACAGAGGTTCCCGCTGAGTTATCTGGATACCAAACACAAAGTTTCTAACTTCAGACAGTCATGGAGTGAACCAGCCAATCAGCACACAGCTCATTCATTATTCATGCCCTGGCCAAGTGGGTGGGGCAAACCAATTCAATTCAAGTTTATTTATATAGCGCCAAATCACGACAAGAGTCGTCTCAAGGCACTTCACATAGTAAACATTCCAATTCAGGTCAGTTCATTAAGCCAATCAGAAAAAAGTTTCCAATATAAGGAACCCAGCAAATTCCATACAGCAATCCTCATACTAAGCAAGCATTTAGCGACAGTGGAGAGGAAAACTCCCTTTTAACAGGAAGAAACCTCCAGAGAATCCTGGCTCAGTATAAGCAGCCATCCACCACGACTCACTGGGGATCGAGAAGACCGAGCAGACACGCGCGCCCGCACACACACACACACACACACACACACACACACACACACACACACACACACACACACACACACACACACACACACACACACACACAACATATTTATCAAGTAGGGTTTCTATGGTTACATTGTGATTTCTTAGTAAATATTCCATTCTAGGGCTTTATTATGGGGGGTGTTTGGCCATTTATCAGGGCTCCTGGGTCATTTTAACCCCAGCAAAGACTATTTAGAGCCTCAAAGTAGATTTTCCATTGGTAAATAAAAACGTTGTTCTGGGACCCTTTACCTCTGAGTGATGAGTTTCTTTGCTCCTGTACTTTTAGTCACAGTTTTGTTTCTGGAAATGAAAGAATTCAAGAATACATGAAGTTCTTTCAGGATGTCTTTCTGTCTTGGTTCTGCTTCTTGCTCCATCTTGAGGTTAAGGGTTCACCGTCGGACCAGATGCAAATAGACTCTACAGCCCACGGCTCTAGATCCAGTTCATACCAGCTTGCTAACCAGGCTTCTTCTTTTTTTAATTAGATTTGCAAGTTAGCTCAGTTATACCGTTTCAGTTCTTGTATATTTATCAATTGTAATGTTAATGTAACGCTGGATAAGCATTTTATCCTTCCTGTTTATTCTTGTTCTGATGCATTCTGGTTCTTCAGGAGAAACGCCCCAACGGCTGCTCAGGGACACGGTGAAGGACGCATCAGAGAAGGCCAAAGAGGCAGCGAAGACCCTGGCCTCTGCTGCTGCTGGCTCCGCCCCTCAGAAACCCCAACAGTACGTCTGACGGGGAGGCGTGGCAGCTGCCGCACTGACACCTCCACCTTTTGATCATCCTGAGGTGTGAAATCTGTTGAATTGACTCCCCTGCTTAAACGTTTACCTCTTCCTGTCGGCACTCACTGTAGATGTCTGTTCTGATCTCAGGTTCGGAGTTTTGTATCAAAATTTCTGCCTTTTAAGCATCTTTTACAGCTTTAACTGTGAATTTGTCTACAGAAGACTGGCTTTACTTTCTTTTGTGCATTTTTACATTTAATTACAGCAAGTTCGCATTAGACCAATTTTTAAAGGTGTGGAACACTGAAATAACATTTTTTAAATTATTATTTCTGATTGTAATTGGTCCCTCAGTTTTTCATGCAGGCTGAACATGAAAATGGTCTCCTACACCTATCTCCTGCATTAACTTCTGATATTCTGAAAATATATGGTGAAGCACTAGGATTAGAAAAGCCTGACAGCTCTACTTCACACTGTCCCTTAACATCACCCATCTTGACCCATGATGACGTAGGTTTAACGTCCAGGAAACAGCAGAGAAGGTCTCGACAAGTAGCAGCTTAGCTAGCATTAGCAATTCCACCACACAGCAGAACTTCTCCAGGCTTGTGATATTTGTGGAGATAAAACATCCACGATGCAAATCAGTGATAGTCGTGTTGCTGTTATCCAATCCATGGCACGATGCCCAAATATCAGCAAATAAGACTCCAAAACCTGCCGTCTGAAGCTCAGCTGTGGTGATGTGGGTCACTACTAGTTTTTGGAAATGGTGCACCGTTGGTTGTTTTTTTTAACCTTTAGTACAACTTAAGCATGATTTATACTTCTCCGTCAGCTCCGCAGGGGAGAGACGCAGAGACGTTTTGCTCTTTGACTTCTCCGTCACCTGAGGAGTGTTGTAAAGCAATTCCCCGCCAGGACAACAGAGGGCGTAGCGCTTTCCTGTGGTATCATGCCACCGTTAGTATCTGGTCAACGATAGTCGATTTACTAATGTGTTTATATATTTCAGAAACTTAATAACACTGAATCATTTGTCCTCTAAATTATGCTCTAACCCACATTTCCCATCATTTCTATCCACGAATAAAACTTTTGCTCCATATTTTTGTACCCCTTCAGTCACGACTGAATAAACGTTCATATTTTTGGACTTTTTCTGCGATGTGATCTTAAATCTTCGTCTGCCGCTAAGAATCTTTTTGCTTTTTAAAGGGGCAATGGCTGTGCTGTTGACAAATTTACAGGAAGTGGCATCCTGACCAATCACAAGCTTGCGGTCTCCATCACTCTCGACGGATGTTTAAAAATTCGAGCACGTCTCCGTCATCCTCTTTGCGAGCCTGTCAGAGAGCCCTTATGACGACGCATAATGGCGCCGCGCGTCCCCGCATCGACTCAGACACAAAGTAGGGTTTACAAGGCATTCATTCCTACTAGAGACCACCGCTAATGTCTCCATTAAACGAGTGTTCCACACCTTCAGTGTTTCATGGACTTCAGTCAAAGAAGGAAGATGAGATTGTTAAAACTGTAATGTGTATTTATTAAATACTTTTAGATTTCATGTTTGAATTTAAATGAGCTTAAATCTGTCTGACAGAAACACGTTTGTTACCGTGGTAACTGTCCCACCATCACAAAGGTGCAATAGTGAAACTAGAGCATCACATTGGTGATTTTAACATTTCTGTGACTGCATTCCTGTAAATTAGGAATCATCTGGATTTTTGTTTGTTTTTGAGCAAAATGCAAACTATAGTTGATGAAAACTATAAATGTGATGTTTGCGTTGATGGTTTAGGATTAGGCGCGTGTGGTATTCGGTTCATGTTTAATTTAATTTAATCCAATTATGAAATATATTAAAAATGAAAACCGTAGAGGCACTGTGGATGCTCAGTGACACATTTAAAACATTTCTTTGTTGACTCTTGTTGAATAAAAACTGATCATTTATTGTTGTTGTTGGCGTTATTTAACTCTGCTTCTTCAGTAGCAAATGGTGAACTTTGACCTCTAAAAGCTGATCACAGCTTCGCAGCTGCACAAACCAAACGGGAAGTACCGTTTCAACATCTAAATCGTCGTTTTCCTGCTTGGAGGCAGTTTAAAAAAAACTCACCGACAGCTTTTATGTATAAAACATTTTAATTATATTACAATGAGAGAATACACAATACCTCCAAGTAGTGACGTAGCCAGCACCAGGTACTCGTGTGCACAAAAACAAAGGAACTTATACAACAGCTTCTGAATGTAGATTACACATTCGCTTTAGAAAAAAACAACAACAAAGGAACATTTTCACAGGTCTCTGGCACAGAACTCTCCCTCCTCTGCACAGCAAACAAATTCTTCATCGTCCTCGCCTCACCTAAAGCCTCCCGCCGCGTTTCGATCAGCTGACCTCCGAGCGTCAGCCGATGCGTGAAGATGCACAAACAGAGAAAAAGAGATGAAGTGCAGGAAGTGGGAAGCTGACCTACAGGTAGTTAAAGCTATCCATCGTGAGTCGCACACGTGTTTCTAATTCGTCATGGAAGGATTAAAAGTGGCTGTAGGTTTGGCAGGAATAGTATTTTCTGTGGGTTTTATACGATTTTCTCTTTTACCCCGGGCGCCTCGCCGTGGCGACACTTTAGCTAATCTCTGTGCAACAAAACGGTAAAATCCTGAATCTCATCTGGTGTTGGGGCTCTCCCAGCAGGTTGTGAGTCTAAATGCTCTGTAGCTAAATATCTTTTGCCCCCAAATGGGCAAAACTGCTCTAACAGTCTCTGCTCGGTGTTACAATCTGTTTTTTCCAAGGCACGTCATTAAAGAATCACACACACGTTCCCTCAAAGTTCCCACAGAGTGTCAAGCTGTCTCAAAGTGTGTGTGTGTGTGTGTGTGTGTGTGTTTGTTTTACATGAAAAGTCAGAATCTCATATCTGGCCTCGTTTCACCCGTCGCTTTTCTTTACTAGGAGGTTCTGTGCAAGAGAATCATCGGATGCAATTCATCTTGTTCACTCACTTGTTCATTTTGACCAATATTTAGAAAAATGACTTGTTTTTTTTTTGTTTCTACAAACAGTCATGTACAAATCATTTGACATGAATGTAAACTCTCCACAAAGAAAAGAAAACAAAACAAAAGTTCTGTGACTTTTTCAACCTCCTGCAGTGTATGGAGAGAGGGAGAGAGAGAGAGAGAGAGGATAGGAGGTTAAAAAAATCAGTGAAACAAAAATAGTTGGTCACCAACGACGCAAGAGTAAAAAAAAAAACTACCTGCTTGTTTTAAAAACAAAAACCCCGCCCACCCTCCCTCAGAAAGCACAGGATGGTAATATTGCTGTGTGAAGAGGTCCCCTGATCAGCGGCTAACACTTTTTTATTTCGTCTTTTTGGGACGGACCACTGGGAGAAGGGAGGATATCACCTTAAGCTGCCATTGATATTATTCTTTAAATCGCTCCTCTCCCAGTGGCTCCCATTCAACAAACACATGTAATCAACAAACACACACACAAAATAAAAATAAAACAAAAAAGAGGTTAACACGCTTCAAGCCCAGACGATCAAAACCCCGTCCCACTGGTGGCTGTTCAGGAGAGGGAGGGGGGTGTGCCTGGAAGCTGCCATGGGAGTTTTACCAGTGTGTTTTAGTTTTGCCATGACAGGGGGGGGGGGGGGGTGATGGGGGAGGTGGCACCGGCAGACAAGGGCGGGTTCTGGTCTTCTGGTCACACACCACGTTCTCGTTGAAGTGTTTTGCGTTTTGGGCTGAAATGACCGCCGCAGGGAAACAAAATGAAGGAGGGGTGCGAGGAGGGGAGCGTGACCTGAGTAGGGGTGAGGAGAAGGGAGGAGGCTCATCAAGGCACAGAATGACAGCAGGAGAGTCGCCCATGAGAGAGGGGTCAGTGTAGGAGCTCCCCCGCCCCCACTCTCCCTTCAACAAGCCTGGCCTCCTGTCTGTCCGTCTCTCATGTACATATATAGATATAGATCGATATACTCACTGTTTTTTTTCTTTTTATAGAATAAGAGGACATTTAGGAAAATATAATACAAAATCCAATACAAGAAATATAGACTACACTAGAGCTGGTGCCACTTCAGGTGACGAGGAGCTTCTTTTGTTTGCACGATTTTTGACTTTTTTTAAATTTTTTTGGTCAGACCTGCCTCAGTGGACAGGCCGCGTTTTGTGTCGTTTTATTAAAGTGCTAAAAGCGCTAAAGACTGCAAGAGACTGGCGGGATACTGATTATTATCATTAATGTTATTAATAAGTGATCAGAGAGCAACGCGAGCGCCTCGTCCGTCGATAGTGACTACTGTGCAGACGTTTAGTCGGGTGAGGAGGAAAAACCTTTCAGTTGTGCAGATTTTCAGCAGAACCCGAAGCAGAGGGGGAGAAAGTAACAGAGGAGTAAAATTCACGTGGATCCACCGTTATTCGGCTAAGCTGAACACTTTTTGTTTCTTTAAGCCCACATTTCCAGCTTTGACCTGTTAATCAGAGAAGCAAACCAACAGAAAAGTGACAGAGCTGCAGAGAGGTGTCATATTTTGGGTGGGTGGGGTGGGGGTGGGGGGTGGGGGGGCAGACGGAACAATTAGTGAATTGCAGGTCGGCTCGTCGAGCGTAAAAACAAAGTCTCTCGCTAACACCTCTCGGTCCGCCCGGGTGGACTCGATCCTCAGAGGAAGCCTCTCGTACTTTTATTGCTACATCGATTAGCTACTGAGAAGAAAACACGAGATTTCTAGCTGTGAGACAGCTCCTTCGTTTCTCCGACGTAGTAGTCCGTCCATCCGTCCACGCCGCTGGGTGGTATAGTGTAGTGGTCAGTAGTGCGGGGGTAGTGGTTAGGCAGCCCAACCAGAGGGAGACGAGGGTCTGGGACAGGTACTGTACATCTATTTACACGTTTATTCTGCTCTGCTGCAGCTCCGCCGCTTTTCACAACGCCCCGGTCCCAAACCGAAAACCGTTCTAGCCAGAGTTCAATAGGAGCCCTGCCTCGGGGGCGCTTAAGATGGCGTCAATGGTAGGAACCGGACCCAGCCTGAGTGAACAATCACACCAAAAGGTTAGGACCTGCTTGTCTAACTGGAACTACACGTCCGATCCAAATACGGTCCGTAAGCTGCAATTTATGGTCGTAAATTGTAAGAAACGTTACAGGTGTGTGTAGGTTTAAACATAATCTCTCTTCTCATTTACCCGACAAAGTAAATCCTTCTAAATCTAGGCTGTTGACAGTGAAATGTCCAGCTGATCCGCAGCAGTGACTTCTGAGCATCTAGGTAAAAAAATGTAGGCACTAAATGGAAAAAATTAAGTTTTTGAGGTTCTGGTGTTGCATGTATTGCTCTACAAAACAAGTGCTATTTGTTGTTTCCTTTTAAATCCCAAACTTAGTGCAAACCCTGTCTGAGCCACACACACCACACACACACACACACACACACACACACACACACACACACAAATCACCGATTAACAGGTCAAAGCTCTTCACCTCCCTTGAGAAACATCAGATGAAACCGACTAACTCTGTTTCTGTGGTCTTTGAGCCTTCAGCAACATTAGGGGGAGGGTTCCAGGAATGGGTAGAAGGTGTTGGCAACTGAAAATGTAGGAGAGCAAGGACAGGAAAGGGTGGTGGTGGTGGTGGTGGTGGTGGTGGCGGGGGTGGACCAGTGGTGCCTAACAGTGTTGCAGCTGCAGTCTGTGGGAATGTGTGGCCGTGTAGCTGGTGTCGCTGGAGCTGCTCTGGAGGCTGTAGTGGTCCTCCTCGCCGTCGCTGATGCTGTCTATGCTGTCCACCTCGCCAGGAGTGAACTCCATGCCCTCGATGTCCACCTCTGCTTGCACAAACGGACAAAAAAAACACAGCTTTACAAACAAAACAGAAGTTTTTTTGTCCTCCAAACGTGCCGTACGGTATATTTATTAGGCGGCTCGCTGCACCTGCAGATTAAACCTGGATGTAGGCGGCCTTCAGAGGGAACAAGCAGACTTTTTTGCTCCTGCTGGTAATCCCGACTGCAGATAAGCAACTGCATGTGTGTTTACCTCAGCCTGGATTAGCAAACCCACTTCAGGGAACTCTGAAAGCTAAACTTTTACTGAACGAGGCTCGGTCCCTGCATGTTCCTGCACTTGAGCGGCGTTCAAGCATAATACATGTGTTATAAAGGAAACCAGGGTGTTCACCATGTGGTCGGACCACAACACAAGACTAAAGCGTTCGCCGCACACGCGAGGCAATCCTTCAGCATTCTTATCTCTGCACACCTGCTCAACCATCCAACGAGCGCTTCAGACGAGACGAGTCGACGCCTCGTGAGATTTCTGGGGGTTTTTCACTTTTCTAACTTTGCTCTGATCTCAGATTGCTGTCATTCTGTAGCCGACAGAGCTGTTACCACAGCGTGCGCCAAAAGCAGCCCACAGGACAACATCTCTCCCACCATCAGTAGCTGTAGAGGAGAGCCAGACTTGTTTACCTGTAATCTGAGGTGTTAACCTTTAACCCGGGGGAGTAGCCTGCAGACGGGGCCAGCGCTAATCGTCTGGTCCGAGTGAGAGCAGCCAAACGGCTGAGTGGGAATAGCTGCAGGCCTGCTGTGGTTTTACACTAATTATCATCTGTGATTTTGTGGCAAACGTGTAGGGGGGGGGGGGGGGTTAAAGAGTGAGGGGATGAATGCAAATTTGTTTGTTTTTTTTATAACTAGAAGCTAGCGTACCTTGCTCCGAGTCGGTGGAAATGGTGGAGCCCATGCTGTCGGTGCGGATGCGCTCCATGGATCCCGACACGGAGAGCTGCTCAAGGCGGCGTTTGAGGTAGCGGTGCTCTCTCTGAAGCTGCTCCTTCACATTTAAAGCCTTCCTGTCCTGCTCTTCCAGCTTCTGCAGACAAACACACGGAAAAAAAGACGATAGTACATCTTAACATACAGAAAAGATCTGTTTCCTAAAAATGTCCTTTTTTGTGTTTTGATTCCCTTAAAATACCGAAACTTTACAAGTGAGGGGACAAAACCCCTTTGACCTTTTCCATGAAACAACAAAACACTTTTTAGCATGTTTGAATTCTACTTAGAGATGCACCCCAAAAATCTGCTAGTTATCAAAATCGACAGATATTCAGCACAATCAGCTTAGTTGGCGATTGTTCGAACTTCTACTCAAAAATGTGGAATTTTATACATCCAGAAATTAATTGTTTCTAGTTAAAGCCACTGTAGCAAATCGGCAAAACAAGCTAGCTTTTAAACATAAACAAAGTCACGGAACTCTCACCCTCTACCCTCTACAGTTGGCTATCATATCTAGGCCACGCCCATTTGATGCCAGAACCTGCATTGCCACAGTTACCCCCAAATTCCACTACCTCCGCTCCGCTCCGACACGAACGCCGGAGCAAAATCGGTCCCGTTGTAGTCAATCAGAGCAATTCCACTACTGCGGCCGTGCTCCGGCAGTGCGGCGCCGCCCTCTGTTCCGGCGTCCGGCAAAAATAGAATCGATCCTATTTTTGACGAACGCCGGAGCACCTCCGCAGTAAATGGACAGAAATCACAACGGCCCAACAGGAAAAGGAGCAAGCACAACTTCCGTTTTTCACAATAAATCGATAAACAAAAGGCGTTTTTTGTTTCATATGCACAGGTTTAACAACTTTTAACAACTCTCAATGGCGGCTGAAGTTTAAATGCACAAAAGTAAGCCATAAATACAGTTTCTACTATCAAAGTAGTCACCCTTTGTTGATCCAAACACTGCTGATCTCTCAACACAAATGATGGGCAGATTAAGCAGTTCATGCCGATGCTTCTCCCACACAACGGGAGTTTGGATCTAACTTTCGCGTTTATTGCTCGGACTGTATCGCAAGATCTCGAAAATCCCGCGCATGCTTGTTTGCCCCCCTCAGGTTTCCGCACCGGAGCGGAGCCGTTGTAGAGCGGGGTACCGGTAAAAATTGAGTTTGGAAGCGAGCGGCTGCGGAAGGCGGGGGCGGACCGGAGAGGAGTGGAGCGGAGGTAGTGGAATTTGGGGGTTAAAGAGCAAGTCACCGCCAAATCAACTTTTTCTGATAAACCATATAAATGCGTGTCTAATTGTGCTGCAGACACATGTAGTCAATGGTTTTGCACTTTAGTGCATTTTAGTTAAAATTGAAATTTTCTGCCTAAAACTGTCAGTGTTGTGCCGTCGTCAGGTAAAAACTCTGCACTGCAGTTGAATTTAAATCTACCATCGCTATTGGCTAAGAGGTACCCTAGAATGTTAGCTGGTACCATATGATGTCACAATGTCATTGTGAGCCTGTGTGTGTGTATTTGTTTGCGGCTCCGCCCTCTCGGTCTGCTAGGCTACAGCATTTGTTGCATTTTTCAAACAGGAAGTGGGGGTGGAGTAACACTCTGGTAGGGGGTGACTTGCTCGTAAACGAGACAGCACTAAACACCAGTCGCCGTCGTCTATATCCAAACATCTCTTGTTGTCCGTGACTTCAAATGTTGTTTTTCTTTTTGGGATTCCAGTAGTTTGTCCTAGAGTTGAAGTGGTAGCAGCCAAGCTGTTTCTCCTCTGGTATTATTGAGCGGAGAACCTCTCACACCAGCGGTGTTCTGTTGAAAAATGCGTGAGGGCGTAATGAATGGAGAACCCAGGGGAGTAAAGCGGTTTGGCAAGACCGACAACGGGATGGTCTGATAGTTGTTTTCAGACCGAGCCGTGTTATTGGCTGAGGTTTTTAGGCAAATGTGAGAAAACCACTTCATTAATTTTTTTAATCTCAACAATATATTTATAGCTATACTAATATAAGGCATGAAAAAAATGTCTTAAGCTAGCTTGTTTTGTAGATTTACCAAAGTAGCTTTGACTATTAATAATGCTATTTTTTTTGTCAAATTCTGAGGTAAATCGGTTGGCAGATCTGAGAAGTCCAAGGATCAGGAATCTGTATCAGACCTAGGGATGAGTACCGAATTCGGTACTTTTTAAGGTACCGACCGAATTCCATAGTACCGACCGAACACCGATTCACGTCATTTCAAACGGTGCCTCGTTTCGGTACTGCCAAGACAGCTGCGCATGCGCAAGAGCGTTATGTCGCCGGTCCCTGCGAGCCCGTTGTAAACAGAGCAGCATGGTAGAAAGAACACACGCTAAAACTTGGGTCCACTTCACTAAATGTGATGGGTAACTGGGTGATGAAACAAGCGACAGACAACAATCTAAGTGAGACATCCTCATCTTAATCTGCTCCAGTAGGTAAATAAAATGTTTAAGATAACGTTACCTTGATTTGTTAGCTTCCGTTTCGCTAATGGTGCGTTCGCTTTCTCCTTGGAACTCCGAATTTCCGACTAGAAGAACATGAACGCGCTCTAAAGTTTGGCTTTACTTTACTAAATGCGACGGGTGATTGGGTGAAGATGAAACCAGTGACAACAATCTAAGTTTGAGGCATCATCGTTTTAATCTGCTCCAGCAGCTAAATAAACTGTTTAAGATAACGTTAGCTTGATATGTTAGCTTCCATTGCCACCGTTGTTATCAGCTAATGGTGCGTTCGCTTTCTCCTCGGAAATTCTAACTTCCCAGTAGGAAAAATCAAATGAAAAAGGACGGCAAAAGGAATGAAGATACACAGTAAATTTAGTTCACAGTAAAGATGTTTGCTTCATTTTAATTATCAGCTTATAAAACTACAAGGACGATGTTAAAATACAAACTTGAATGATATTTATCGTGATATTTATCAAATATGGTTATATATTGAGAAAAATATATATTTAATTATAAAAGAGAATTAAAATAATACTCAAAAGTATCGAAAATTGGTACCGTTAAGTACCGGTATCGACTCGTAGGTACCGGGAATTAGTACCGGATCGATTCAAATGTCAAAGGTACCCATCCCTAATCAGACCTGAAACCAGCTCAGTGGCCTAGTGGTAGGGTGTCCGCTCTGAGACTGGGAGATCAGAGTCCAATTCCTGGTCGGGTCATACCAAAGACTTTGAAAAAAATGGGACCCAATGCCTCTTTGCTTGACACTCAGCATTAAGCTTGGTTTATGCTTGACGCATTAGCTTTCCGCTTGGTGATGCGGCTCGCAGATGGAACGCGCTTCACAACTCGCAGCGTTTATGGTTCATGCGACTTGTCTCTGCGGTGAGCCAATATTCTCCCAAACTGTAGGAGGCAGCATGGAGCTCTACGGCATGCATCCAACACTACACCATAGTAGAAGTAAAAATGACTGTTTACAACATGGCATTCCAGCATTTTTTAACAGCGTCCTCGTCTTTTCCGACAGTGCGAGCTATTTCTCTCCAAGAATTATTAACAACATGTTGATCACGGTGATCTCTGAGAGCTGAATCATACAAATGTCTGTATTTACGAATCTCTGCCATGCTAGTTCTTGCCGGTCCGCCATGTTTTTCCGTGTCTGACCGTCCGCGTGGTTAGAAAATTTCCTAGGTGTGCGTTGCGGAAATTTTGGGCCGTGCGGAGGCGCGGTGGAGGGGCGTGGTTGTTAAAATGACGCAATTTCGCCACGCGGAGCCGTGCGAACCTCGCGGACGCGTCAAGCATAAACCAACCTTTAAGGGGCTGGATTTGGGGGGGGGGGGGGGGGGGGGGGGGACCACCAAATGCTGTGTCTGCAGCTCACCGCTCCCCCAGGGGATGGGTCAAATGCAGAGAACAAATGTTGCACACTAGGGTTGTCTTAGGGTTGTCACGGTAACCGGTATAGCGGTAAACCCCGGTAAAAAAGTTGACAATAAAAATAACCGTCCAGTTTTTAAAAAACTATATTATCTCGGTGGGTTTACCGTGGCCGCGGTTTCGGCGCGATGACCCTTACCAGCCACCGTCGCTTCAGCTGAAGTTCCCGCGGCGCGCACACGCACTTTTTAATTTGCAACGGCACCAAAACTTTGAAGCTGAAATAATGGCCGAAGGAGGCGACGGCAGCGCCCAGGACATCCATCAGCCCTCAAAGAAGACTATTCGGAAGTATGGGCATATTTTGGATTTCTGAAAAATGCTGAGGGACAGTTAATAGAAGACGGCTATCCCGTTTGCAGAACGTGCAGGAAGCAAGTGTCTGCAAAAGGTAACACTTCAAATCTAATGGCACATCTGCGTGACGATCACCCACGTCTCTACAGCCAGTGCAAGGTAAGTTAACATTAGCATTTTAGCTGAAATGCATGACGTGAGGACTTTTGGCTGAGGGAGAATTCAACGAGTCACTATATACTGCAGCCGCAGCGCCCTCTGCCAGCATTTAAACCGTGTCACGGACACCCTGTTGCTGGATGAAGCATCTTAATTGTTGATGATGAAGAGAAATATACAATTAGTTCCTTGTCATTGATTTGTTTACTTATTCAATGCCATTTATACTTGAACATTTGGATTTGATTACATAGTGTAGTAGTTATTTTAGTAATTTGTTTAAAGTGGCTATTTATTTTAAATACATATTTTTTTAAGGTTGACTTGTACAGCGCTCAAGTCAAGTGTGGACTGGAGTTTTAGATTTTCATTTTGATAAAGAAGAAAACAAGTATATGAGAAAACAAGTGGTGTTTCTTTGATTTGTTTACATATTGTTTATGTTTTGAATGTTTGGATTTGTATCATTTAAACCTGCACTGACTACTGTAACATGTTCCAGAAAAATAAGCTATTTGTTCCTTGTGAAAAGTTGCACTTTTGCTAAGGCTTTGTGTTATTTTAGGTTTAATAAACACTGTTAAACCTTTTCAGAACTATTTCAGTTTGTGTAGAACAGGACTATCAATGCTTTCTGAACATATGCAACACCGTTTAAAAAATACCACGATAATACCGAAAACCGTGATAATTTTGGTCACAATAACCGTGAGGTTACATTTTCATACCGTGACAACCCTATTGCACACACATCAGTGTGTGTGACAACTGATGGGACTTTAACTTTAAACAAAGAATCGTTGCATCTTTGATAAAAAAAGAACTGAGAAAATCGTGCCCGTGCTTTTTAGGCTGCAGCTTCCATATTGTCCTGAAAACAAAATGTTATTTTGCTGAAACGCACATTTTAGACATTCATTTCTTGAATGAAATAAGTTTTTAAAGCTGGTTTTAGTTTGGGGAGAAAAATAAACAAACTCCTTGTGATAACAAATTTGACTTGATGCAGGAAGGTGTGCTTTGCATTCATTTGCATCTGAAAGTTTTCAGCGGTGAAATCAAAGCGGGGCCCTTTGTGATCCGAGAAGACTCAGTTTTGTGATGAGAACCAGCGTGCACCGTCTGAGCAGAGAAGCCATGCATGATAAACAGGAAACGAAGGGTTAAAATTCTCTACGTGTGGATTTTCCACCAGCCACACTGTTGCTGCCTGTAAACAACACGCAGCATGACCAAAACTACTGCAGCAAGGTTACATTCTTATCAGTTAATGTATGAAATCTTTCATGTTTCAGGCTTTTCTGTGCCAACACTTATTCTGCCTATCGTGACGGATCCTCATGTCTGTGAGCAGAAACAAAACATCACCTCGTATCTACAGATCAGCCACCAAAACGCTATACAGTCCACCAAGCTGACTCATTCGTTAACAGATGTCTTTCTTCCTTTCAGTCTTGAACTTCTTTTTTTTGACAAGTCAGATGGAAAGATTGGACAGCAATTCAACTCTTAAAGCAGAAAAACAAAGCTAGAGTTCAGTGTGCTTTAAAGAGCAAGTCACCCCCAAATCAACATTTTTTTCTGATAAACTATATAAATGCGTGTCTAATCGTGCTGCAGACACGTGTCCTCAATAGTTTTGCACTTTAGTGCATTTGAATTAAAAAATGTATTTTCTGCCTAAAACTGTCAGTGTTGTGTCGTCGTCAGGTAAAAACTCTGCACTGCATTTGAATTTAAATCTCCCATAGCTATTGGCTAAGAGGTACCCTAAAATGTTAGCTGGTACATTATGATGTCACAATGTTGTTGTGAGCCTGTGTGTGTATTTGTTAGCAGCTCCGCCCTCTCGGTCTGCTAGGCAACAGCATTTGTTGCATTTTTCAAACAGGAAGTGGGAGTGGAGTAAGAATCTGGTAGGGGGTGACTTGCTCTTTAATGTTCTTACTGAGTTTTTTTAAAGTTGTTGTTTAAAAGTTCCGTTCACCCCGATATCCAAGCAGCTCAGCAAACTAGTTTTTGAAAGCAGCGTCCACCATTTTTGTACCTTAATGTGCATTTTGGCCCGCTTCAGCAAGCTCAAGGTGGTGTGTCTCGTGCTGTCTGGACCCAGAGGCACCAGCTTCTTCAACTGCTCCAAGTAGAGCCGTAGTTTGGCACGTCTGCAAGCACACAAGCAGAAAATGAGTCAGCACCTGTCCTCTAGCCCCCCCACCCACACACACACACACACACACACACACACACACACACACACACACACACACAGGTTGAGAGCAGCTCACTGGCATGTCCCTAAATAGCAGGCGGATGCTCCTCTTGTGTACTCTGATTTACGTGCTCTGTCCGAAACAGGAGCGGTGACTCTCCCATCAGAGTTTGACTGTTGGACATTTTTAAAGGTCTATGTTAATATGAAGCCCCTGTTTAGGCCAGTGAAGGCACCACGTCCACATAAAAAAAGCTGACAATCCTGAACACCCGACTCCATAATCGTAAAATAGATTTTTTACCAGATATGTTTGTTAAAATGCATCTTTTACATCTGAAAGGACTGATATTTCAGCAGAAATACTTCCATTCCTGCTGGGCTTGACCTCACTTTGCACTAGAACGACATCACGCTGCTGCTGATTATAATTATAATAGTGTTATGCTTTCTAAAATGCTGTTACTGCTATGACAGCCGGGAGATTGGAGCTGCTTCGTTCCATACTTTTTCAAATTGAGGCCATTGAAGACTCGGGGGGGCTATCTACATTTGGTAAGATAGTGATTGAATACTGGTGACTTTTACAAATAAACACTCAAAATGACCAAACTATCGCTCAGACAGGAACACTATTATAAATCTTTTGATGTAATGTCCCGTGGAAACTATTTGCGACTTGTTTTTTATCCCTTCAACATTTTTGTGAACTCTGCTGGAAGCTTCGCTCAGGAAAATATCTTTAAAAAGCCTAAAGAAACTCATATTCCATGCATGTACTACTATTTCCCAGTGTTCCTGAATGCCTCCAAGCCAAACAAAAAGTAAAACCCTTGACGCCTACTGAAATATGACAAGCACTCACCCCTGCAACGTTAAACTTCCTCAGATCTTACCTACACACCCACCTACTCCAGAGTACAGTCAGACTCCTACAAATCTCAGCAGCATAAATACCGTTTATTGTCATTGTTTGATGATCATATCTCCAAGCCACAAGTCAGTCATGTTGCTGATCTTGTCTTTGAGAACAAAAACGAGTGTCATTGCACATCCGTGTGTGGCATGATCATCCGGACGAACAGGGCCTCCGCACCGCCTCCGGTTCACCTTTCATTCGTCTTACAACCAAGCCCTTTGGGCTTTACGGGCCAGCGTAGCTTCACAACATACCAAACATGATGTCTACAGCAGACTCTGAGCTCTAAAAGACACATGCAGAAATCATTTTTGACCAAAACGGCAGTGACGATGACTCCAAAATCCAAGACGCAGATTGTGACCCCAGAAAACCCTTCATCCCAGCCAAATTCCTGCAGGCCAACAACCCCGGATCCCCGAGCAAACAGTTCCCTGGACGCACCATTAGGATGTTTGTTTAGGTGATAGTGAGGACAAGGCAAAGTTGATCTCTGTGTGCAAGACGAGTGACTTTCCCTGAACGCTGCACATCATTTTAAAAGGCTAATGTTTAATTTTAGATCACCACACCCTCCATTTCTGTTCTTGGGCCTTTCAGATTTGCTCATAAGGCCTTTCAACCTTCCATTAGTCAAGCCGGTCCATGAACCGTGTCTTTATTCGGAGCTCTCCTTCCCCCCCCCTCTTGCACGTTCCTTTGGCTAACTCCGGCTGAACGGTAAACAAACTCCAACAAAGTAAGATCTGCTCCGGTCATCGCTGCAGCCACAATGAACCCAATCAGAGCGGTCTAGCTCTTCGGGGTTTGCCGCAGAACCGGGCACACAGATACGGTCTTCACAACCATGTTTCTTTTTCAGGAAGGGCGTCACCTGCTTTTCTCACTCGGGGCGTGGCCTCCTCTGAGACCTCCGCAGATCAAAAAGCAAGAAAACTTTCATACAGAGAGACTTTTAGCAGGACAAACAACCATCTACAGGTGCTCCCTCAAAAAGGCCGTGTGAAAGTGCTCTGTCTTTTATTTCCACCTCTCCCTGGGGGGGGGGGGGGGGGGGGGGGGGCAACCCCAACTGAACCCCATCAACCCTGTGCTCCACCCTGCCAACACCAACACACCCTCATCCCCCTGGAAAACAAGTGTCTTCTGAGGACAGGGGCAGGGCGGCCACCCCCAGCCTGCCCCAGTCCAGCCACATGAAGCACTTGGTCTGCAGCCAAGGGAAGCAGGCAGGAAGGAGCAGGGGTCCGCAGCAGAAGAGGGGGGGGGGGGTGTTTTGTAGGAATGGCAGTGGGGTTCGAGCTTGTGGATGACTTTCTCTGGGGTTGAAAAAAGGCCTCTTTCAGTTCAGTGTGCTCAGCTGCACCAGGCAGCGCTCCACACACATCATCCAGAAGGTAATCTGAGCCAAGAGTCCCGGACACCCACCCTCTTCTGCTCTTATAACAAAAAAGCACAAAACAAGGCATTTCACCCAAATTCTCCATTGCCCCCCGAGTGTTCCCATCATATTTTCTCTAGAATATTCTTTTTCTAATCCACGCTTTTCACCGTCTAGTTTCAACTGGCGGCTAATGCACAAAATAGAGGTAGAAGAGCATTTTCATGTTAAGCATGCATGTGACACTCAGAGTTGCCGATCAGATTTTTTTAATGGGCATTATGGAAGTGTGACAGCCAAAACTTGTATAGAAATAATAAATGTCTTCTTCATACATTCTCCTGCAACGCCCTGGTCCTGTAGAATGAGCCCTGGCATTTTTACTGGGATTGCCTGTTTTTCTGTAAAATCACAGAAAAAGAGAGATGCTCGGGTCGAGCAGGCTGCTTCATGCGCGTTCACGCTCAGGCATCGCCCGTAGCATTTGCTATCCGTAGCTTTAGCAGCAGAGAGAGAGGCAGTGCCACTTTGTCGCTGTTCCTAACGCCTAGTGACAAAGCTAGCTACATTTCTGAGGACCCTTAGCTACTTTCTGTAGAACTTTCTTCTAGATATTTCCTGCTAATTAGCAACAAAATAGCCGTTTTCACTCCGAACAGTTCTTTGAACGTTGTTTCAGCTGTCATCAAGTAGGTAAATGTTACAGATACGAATAACATCACTGGTGCTTTAGCTCACCTAGTAAGGCGGCGGACTCTCGTGCAGGAGAACTGGGTTCGACTCTGGGTGTGATCATAGTTTATTTAGAGTTTCTTATTTACATTAATGGTATTTTTTTTTACAGTAAGATGCCCAAATTTTTATTTGAGACTCGCCGACCGGCATTGAATTCACAGATAAAAAAGATGTGGGTTCAACTTTCATTTTGGAACAATTTTTCAAGCAAGGGAAGGGAATGATCTGAGCATGCAGGAGGACTGACCCATCATAAACCTTTGTCGGCTGTGCTGAAGAGAAAGGTACAGAACCAAATTATTTAATTAATTAGCTGCACGTTCTCCTGTCCTCCATCCTCCAGGCCACACACACACACACACACACACACACACACACACACACACACACACACACACACACACACACACACACACACACACACACACACACACGGGACTGTCTCAGCTGTGATTTTCGTTAAGGGGTGTGCACGTACAGCATGCGTGCCTCGTGCACAAGCCTACTATTGAAGCTGCAGTTACACTTTTGGCCTGAGGGGGCAATCGCGAGCATACAAATTCAAAACTCCGTAATGTCCCTTTAAAAGAAGTTTAAAAAAAAAGGTTTCTCAGTGAACTTGGGCTTTAATCTGTACAAAAATATCCACGTTAACGCTAACCGTAACGACGCGATTATTGAATTGAAATCTTTATTGTCATCATGCATACACATAACAAAATTTGGTTGGTAGCTCTCAGCTTAAAGGGCACTAAAACCACAAATAGAATGATAAAAGCATGAAAATTAAAAAAAAAACAGAACAATACATAACCTTCCCTTTAGGGAGCCATACACACACTAGTAAAATGAGTAAAAAAAAGCTGAATAATTTAAAAGATATAAAAGATAAATGTTGTGCTGACTAACATTCTGATCATACTATCGACATGTTGATTGATATTATTGCACTCCTTGTTATTGCACATAGAAAATATGTTGAGCCAGTCAAGTATTACCCCTCCTTTCCAGATGGGAAAGCGTCAAGAAAAGGCTTCGTAACGTACGTTGGTGCAGTTATTCGCCATGGACGACAGGAGCCTTTCCATCGGCCGCCAAGAATCACGTTTTGGACGCATCCCAGAAGCATAAGAACGTGTTTCTTATGCTTCAAGTCTATTTTTATGCTCTATGCTTCCAGAACGCGTCAGACTCTGGAGTTCAGATCAGGCCAGACAGGAAGCCAAACAAAAAAGCTGTGTAAACCATCCAGAAAATTTCAAAATAAAAGTCACGTGCAGCTTTCCAGTTGCTTAACTAGTAAAAAGCATACGTAATTTCCTGTTTAAACCTCCGTAGCCGAGGTAAACTACAGATCTTTATGGGTACGTGCTGCCGCCTTTCTCCTTGCTTTTTATCGTCTAAAATCACACGTGATCTTGCAATTCTCCAGCGGTATCGTGACCTCGCGAGACCAGCGGTGTTTCTCCCGCTTCAAATCTGAAACGCTCCCGGTTGGAAGGGAGCTCGTGGGTAAAAGGCCTCACGCTGCTCACACATCTGTTGGAAAGGAGGGGTAAATTTACATTTTCCCAGGTTGTGGGAGAAAGTTGAAGCCATTCTGTTGAAATAATACAACAAATGAAATCAGAGGATTCAGTCCCATTTCATCAACATAGTAACAAATACACCTCAGTGAATCTCTGACTGGCTAAAAGAAAAAAAGTTGGCTGAGAACCTTCAGTGGGACTGCAGCGTCTTTGTTTGAGGAGAGCTTCGTGTTCCTGATGCATATCAACCAGAGGACCTGGTTAAACCCAGCATTGTGTCTCAACAGCGTGCGCTCCCCCATCACGAGACACACTCACTATTTTCTCCTCAAGAGCGCACAGCTGATTTGCAGCAGGGGTTAGGACCCTCGTCCGCTCACGTTTGTTTT